AAACTCTAAATTTAATCGTTACTTCTTGGGTTAAAAAGATCAATGTTTTTTATATATAACAAAAGAAGAGATATCCCTGAGAGAGACACATACAAATCAAGAGGAATATGTGTCCTCTATGAAAACAAAGAAAACAAAAAATGAGAAAAACTAGCTAAACATTACAATTTACAAAGACAAGCCAGCTAATCTCTACAAAAAACTGGAAAGTTAAAAAAAAAAAAACGAAGAGCAGGATTTATAATGTTCCAATCAGAGCTTCTGCAGCACGTTTTAGGAAAAACCACAACTTTCTCACAACAGAATTTTTCATGTCCTATATTCTGAATTATCTATTAAACACCAAAATTGCACACCAAAAGATCGAAAGACAAGCAGTAATGACCAATCAATCTTCGGAAATCAAAATAATAAGAAAAGAACAGGAAAAACATACTCCCGGCAGTATCGTCAGCCATACAGAGAACCGTGAGGCCATCGGTGCGCTTAACGTGGAAGATGAACCGGTCCTGAGAATATGAAACGTGGCTGTCGTTAGTGCCTGGAATCTTCTCCAGAATCTGCTTAGCTATCGCTCCAGCATTCGTCGACGTAGCACTGAACTCTGCTAGCACCACCGATCCACGCGCCACCAGCGCGTAAAGAATTGCCATGTCTCCTCCCTCAACAACTTCTACGTCTACGAGAAATATAAAACGATAATAGAAAATTTGAACGGAAAAGGTAACTTATTTCCTCTTCGCTTCAATTAAGGATCGAGAAATCGACGGATGGATTAATCAAATCCCGAAGAAGAAATTGATTGACGAACTAGCTAGAAATTGAAAATCAACAAAAAAAAAAGAAGAAACTCTTCTCGAATCTGAGAGTCTTCTCTCTATCGCGATCTAGGTAGAGAAACCTGAAAAGCTGGAAGCTGCAGAACTGGGTTTAATTGTGGCGGACAGGTAAATTGAAAACCCGGACGATGAATGAGAGAAGAAGAAGAAGAAGAAGAAGAAAGAATATGGGTTCTTTGTTTAATTTTTTTTGCTTTGCTGTATATTTCAATTTTAATGATTTAAATAATTAAAAATAGAATAAGAAACCAAATAGAAATATCCGGAGGAATTTTAATAATTAAATTACTTAATTAATAATAATTTTTTTTTTTTTTTTTTTTATATTTGGTAAAACTTACAGACTACACTGTAATTTATTTATTTTTACCAAATTAATTACAGACATTCTCGGTAAAAATTATTAATAGATATCAAAATGTGGACTGCCGAATCCTACCCGCTTTACTCTTAAGGCTCGAACCCGTGTTCCCTACATCTCTTTAATAAGCGTGGATTTTTCAGATATATAATATGATATTATATCATATGTTATATTTTTTTTCTTTTAAAATTTCTGCTTCTAATTTTAGGAAGAAAATCGAATTTTAACCCATATTTATATAAATAAACTATTAAATAATGTCGTGACTTATATAACTAATTTGAATTTCCGTGTATATTTAGTTGAAAAAAAGAAAGATTGATTGGGTTGGGTTGAAGTTGGAATCCATTTTGATGGGCCCATGTTGAGGCGTCAGATGGGCTCCAGCAACTATGAAGTTTCGAACTTGCTAGCAAAAGTTGTAAATAAAAAAGGCCAAGAAAAGTTATTTAAAAAGAAAGATCCAACAAGTGGATGATGTGTGTATAATAATACAAAATATATTTCTTAATTTTAATTAATGTATATATATATATTTTTTTACAAAATTATGCAAGTTGGTTAATAAGAATAAGATAGAAATAAGAATGGAAAATATTTATAAATACTATATTGAATTATTTATTATTATTAATTATTTGGATGGTATGAGTGGGCCAGACATAGGACTTGGGCCTGTCACTTTAACGGTTCATGACAACGGCAGTGGACAAAACATTGGACAAGACTTGTCCTACAAGGTAGCACCAACTTCTCCTATTGTCCAATGGGCCCCACCTCTTCTTATTTTCGGTGTCATTTCACTTTAAAAAGAAAGAAATAAATAAACTTTCGGCCCAGTACTATTTTCCTGTTTGGAAGGCTTTGCTATATGGGCTCAGAAGTCAAATAATATTTAGCAAAAGTCAAATCAATTTTTTTTTAAAAAATAAAATTAAGTAATAAGCAGTAATTTTGAGTAAAATGCTCTTAAAACATGATATTTAACCGAGTAAATAACTTCTTCTGAAATTGTAAAATAGGAAACTGAAAAAGCAGTGTGTAGTTTCTTCATTTGAAAGCAGTGGTTGGTGAAAAGCATGAAAGTTGCATTACACACGCACACACACACACACACCATGTATGTATCTATGCATGTGTATGGGCAAATAGGAAAAGAGTGAGCTGAGTGACAGTAGTTTTGGTCAGTGAGTTGGTGAGTTGGTGAAGTTCAATTGGCTCATTGCACAGTCACTGTACTTCCCTTCACCATAGACGAAACCTAACCTTTTAGCTTTCTTATATATAAACCACATATTCCCGCTTCACCGATCAACATTCTCTCTTTCTCTCTCTAAATGATATATATGTGTGTGTGTGTGTATTTTTATATGATTGTATACCATGAAGGGTTTTTTAAGGTTGGTGGAGGTTGATATAAGTGCTTCTGCAATTAAGTGCTTATGGGTTCTCTTTGTGGTCTTCCACAGCTTTCTTGAACTGTGTACGTAAGTTATTGAGGGAAAAAAGCAGCTTATTTAATAAGCATATGCAATTATCAATTCAAGAAGGTTGTGGAATATTACCGGGAGGATCTGATAACAAAAGATCATAACAATTGAGCTACACCCTTATATATACATATATGTACTAATTAAGTATTGTATATATATATATATACACATGTTCATAGTCCTTTGTTTCTTCTTCTTCTTCTTCTTAATTGATACTTTTCTTTTGCTTCAGGGATTTTTCCGTAACAAATATGTTGCAGGACATTGCAGTTTCAAAGATCTTGAAGAGATTGTTTACCAGAGATGTCATATCATAAAACTAGTATGTACATGTGTATACATATATATATATGTATGTATATATGAATACATGTTAAAGGGATCTCCTTTCTCTTTATTTTGTGTTCACCAAACCTAGTCATCATCCATCAACCGAGAGTTCTTCAATTATTCTGCAATACAAACTGGGTATTGTGTGTGTATGTGTGTATATTATACATATATATTTCTGAATTATTTATCCAGAAGTCCTTAAGTTAGCAAGAAATTATTTGAAGGCTCTGAATTAATTAAATTTCTTCTTCAGTTTCTCTTTTGTTTCTGTCCTCTGTGTTTTTTCCGTCGTAGAATCCTAGCAGAACAGAGACAAGTGAAGTAGGTATAGTGGTGAGTGAGAGAAGAGTAATGAGCAAAATTACACTTTTGCCATACATGTATATATATATATATATATATATGCTTGAATTCCTTTAAAAACTTGCATGAGTCCAACCATATTAATCCAATTCCAGTTGCTTCATTTAAGCACAGAATATTCCTCGGCAAATTTTATTTTATTTTAAAAAATTTCAGTTATCCAACTTGGCATCCAAACATCAACAAAGAATAACCCAGATGGCTTAAAAAAAAAAAAATGATGTCTCAAAATCAAACAAGTTTCGGCTCAATTCTTCTGATTATTATTTTCATTTTATTCCTAATTATTGATTATTTGGTATACAAAACAATTTATATATAATTTTTAGGTACAAAACTATCACAAAAATATATAATTATGAGTTTAACATAAGAATCAAATACTGTTTTTATTTATGTAGAATTTAGTTTAAATTCTAATTCACTAGAATATGAATAATTATTTACTATTTTATAATATATATGAATATTATCTTTACTATTTTTGTAATTTAAGTGTGAAATTAAAAATTAAAGTTAATGTCTTTATCATCACAAACTCTCAAAACAAGACCATGATAGCATTAAAAGTACTGGGTCGATCGGAATTTCAAACAATATTTTGAACTAATTTTGTTTTTCATTCAAGATTTCTCTACTCAAGGTAAGAATGATCTGTGTGTGTGTACATATATATGCATATGCATATGCATATGTGTATGCATTTATTCTGAAAGAAAGTTGCACATACAATGTATCATAAAAAGCAATGAGAGATGATGTATTTGTGCTGTCATTTCCATCCGAATTTCAGGTGGGTATGTCTCTAACTGAAGCTGCAGCTGTCAACTCACATAAACATACAATTCATGCGTACATATATATCCATATGCACGTAACTATATATAATTTGTATGCATTGAGTATATGTTTTTTACATAACAGATGAAAACCGCAAGAAACTGTGAAGGTTTTAATCTACAGGTGTAAATCCAACAAATCAGATTCTGTAAGTATAAACATATCTATAAGTGCTTTACATATAATACACACACACACACACAACATGTACATATATATATATATATTCACAGAGATTTAAATAATAAAAAAAAAAAAGAAACAATGCAGTCGGAGAAACCGACATACAGATGGAGCACTGAAGATAACGAAAGGAAGAAATTTTAGAGGGAAGTCCTTTCGCCATGAATGCAGGAGACGGATACCTGTAACAGTACTAGTTTTGTTGTTTCCTTTCCCCCTCCCCCTCCTTTTTTTTTTTTTTTTTATTAATTAATTAAAATTAAAAAGATTATATCAACGGAGTCTCATTCAAATAAACAATTACTAATTACTACTTGATTAGTGTAATTACTAATTATTAACTTTTAAACGAAATGTACACTCTCAAACATGTTATTTTTTTAATAAATTAAACGTATTGTTGATATAGTTTTTAATTATGCAAATTGATATATTTTAATATTGTCAATTTTACTGCTCGAATTTAAATTTTATTTTTTTAATTAATTTTTAATATTAAATAAAATATATACAACTTTCAATAATAATTCATTTAAACTTAAAATAAATTTTTAATAAGGTAGGCTTGTTTTTCTGTGTCCATTAATTTTATTATTCTCAGAAGGGATGGTACTCTGTAAATCATGATAAATTGTTATATATAAGTCAACACAGGAGAAAGTGAAAAATTTACACTTGAAAATTGAAACAAACAAAAATGACTTCATATACAAAGCTTGCTAATATAGTGCATGCGAGAGGCAATAATGGAATCCAACAAGACTTCATATATATATATGTATATATAAACCCTACGATATGATTCCATTTGTTTTATATGTATATATGTACATATGGTGGAAGGTGACTATGACAGAGTTGCTTACCTGAAATTTCATAATTATTAATGTACGTGGGATTCCAAGTTAAAAATTGACATAACCCATTTCTTTTTTATTATCATATATATATATATATATAGCTAAAATAAAGTTAATATATATATAGCCACCTGAATTTTCAAAAGTTAAAAGTTACCCAAAAAAAAAGGAAGAAGCTAAATAATTTTCAAATATTATTTTAGATAGCCATTAAAAATCTAGAGGTAAAGTAAATATTATTTTTACATAAAATTTGTATTTGTATACTAATGATTCCTTTTTGCATAAAAGTCTGATAGACCGAAAAAATAAGAAATTAAAATACTCAACGTAATATTTAAAATTTTCACGTTTTTCTTTTTGAAGCAAATTAAAACAAGTCACGTTATGAAAATTGGGATGAGTTCTTTGAACCGTACGCCTCGACAGAAAGCCCAATTAGAAGCCCGGCCCAATATGAGTCAAAACTCAGTTTCCTCTTCCTCTTGCAAGTCCGCAGGAAGGACTTGTTTTTAAATTCACTTGATAATTTTTATTATTATAATTTTATTCGTATTTATGCATAACGTATGTTTATATTTAATTAATTATTATTATTTACTAGATAATTTAGAAAATTATTATATCGAACTATAAACTTTTTGAGTTGTAATTACAAATACTTGGACCTGTTTAATTTACCCAACATTAAATTAACTCCCCCCCCCCAAGAACCGAATAGATGCCGGAGAAAGAAACGAGGAAAACGTGTAAGCATTGAATTTTGGCATCAGAGTCCACGACTCCCTCCTTCCTCCTGCACAGAAGATTGAGAGAACCAGTGAATAAAGACACATAAGAGAATCGGGTTCGAGACAAGGAACAAGAAGGTGACAATTTAAGCTATCCGAAGTCGCCGCTCCCTTTAGCCACGTTACTTTCTCCTTCGTGTAAATTGCACCGCCGTTTGTCACCGCTAAAGCCTGGATAACGAGATTGTACGGTCGCACAAGTCTCAACTGTCCATTACCGCTCTTCTTCATCCCGATCCGGTCGTTGGAACCCTAGCTTTCACTCACTCATCAGTTTGTTAATTCCAATTTCTTGGAGTGAGGACAAGTCTTGATTGGGAATAACAATGGAATCGTTTCAGTTGTAAATTGGAGTGATCAGACGGTCTTTTCCATACATTATCGACAGCGAGAGAGAGAGACGATGATGCAGAGACGGAGTCCACCGAAGCACAGGCACGACGGTACTTCCCCGCTGCCGCTGGGGATGGATTGGAGCCCTCCGCCTAAGAAATGGGTGAGCTTCGTATTCCTCTTATATTCTCCTCTTTCTTTCTTTCTTTTTTTTTTTTTTTTTTGAAAAATTGTTTTGACTTCCAGATTTAATGGAATTTCGGCCTCGGCTGTATATGAATTTCGTTACTGTTGATTACACTCGCATGAATTAGCGAGAGTCTTACTTATTGGACCTTGGATTTACTTGATACTTCCTAAAAAGACTTGCAAATTTATCACTTCATTGGTACGTGTATTACGATCAGATCGGTTTCTTGAATTCGTGCTGTGATCATAACTTAAGGAATCCTTCAATCGAGATTCTAGCTGATTGTTCTAGCTTTATTTTGGGGTTTATGTGCAAATGAGTGAGAACATCGAGTTATAGCTGGTTTGATTAACAAAGTTAGCTTGGTTGATTTTATTTGCTTGATCTTGTTATGCTACTTGGTTGCTAACATTTTGGGTTTGCGGGGGAGGTTGGTACCACCATTAATTGAACTGGCAAGACATGTAATAAGAATTAACACGTTAGTTCTTCTTAATGTTGTTGCAGTTTTTGCTCTATACAATCCTTACATATGTTATGTTCTTAACACAATTGCACAGGCATTTACTGCAGGTTACAGATGACAAATTAGGCTAGATTTTTTAATCTTAAGAATCTTTAAGCTATTGAAGTTCAGTACTTTGTTTTTCTTTTTGTTCCTTAATAAATATAACTGCTAACAATTTTTTTAATTGATGCTATCTCAGCGACAAAAGTGTTGCATTCGTACCAATTAATACAAGAGTGGTTTAAACTTTTTCGGTATCTTTCTCAAAAACGAACTCTTTCGATATCTATCTTTGTTGACAAACATCTATTGCTCATTTGAGATCTGCAAAAAACTTGCGAGGCCCTGAAGCAGAAGTTGTGGTTGTTTTATGCAAAACTTGTGGCTTTGTATTTAGCAGTAAAAATATACTTCCTTATACACTGGATTTGTTTTGATTTTCCTCCTTGTAGTCTAGCTGTTAAATATTATAAACTTGATGTAAAAAATGCTGATTGTTTTATATGACCATTAATGCCTAATTGCGCATTTGGTCGACTTATGTATTATGACGAATTAAAAATGGTACTGTGAATAGTTTTTCATTAGAGGATTTGAGAAATGTATATACTTACCCTTCATTTTGCTTTCTGTTGGACCTTGGAGTTCTGCAAAATTCATCATCTATCTCTCAATGGTTTGTGCTCTTGTTGCTTGTCATTTGACCTTCGTACTTCAAATTGAGTCCACATGCTAATATAAAAAATTTGCTAGCACGTGAGAACATAATATGAAATAGTAAGTTGGATAGTTTCTATCAGATTAAGTTTTTGGAATAATTAGTCAAGAGGTCCAAATCCTGATTATTCCATTTCTATTAACAAAAAATTAGTGAATATTGCTGAGGTTGTGTTTTCTTCATGCTTTTACTTTAATGAACTTGTGCTTGTGAGGATGTATTAGAATATAAATAATGCATATGAGTCATTTCCTATTAACTTAAGCTTTATTTCTCAAAGATGTTTCTGAATTTTATGTCAATCCTTCACCATATAAAATTAGTAATTGTCACGGACACTACCGATAACAAGCCAAGGAGGTCCACAGGGATAGTTTATTCCCACATGACCCATGGAAAAGGAAGAAGTGACTAAGGGAAGAACAAGGATTGCGACAAGTCTGGAACTTTTTCAGATGATTTATTTTAAGAGTCTTATTTAGGAAGATTTTCATTAGTTTTTTCTTTAGGAAGTTTAATATGACAATGTCTAAGAATCATGGTTGCCTAATAGGGATCTACTTCTAGTAGCTTTACTGTATATATGCTTATTACGATCAATGAAAGTATCATCTGTTCAACCTACAAAATCCCGAGTTACTCTAAGATGCAAGGTTCTTTTAAACAAGCTTCATCATAAGATGATAAGGCTGAAAATTTAGCAAGCACACTTCTTGCTTGCTGAGGGACTTCATCATAAGATGTTGAGGCTGAAAATCTAGCAAGCACACTTCTTGCTTGCTGAGGGACTTCACTATCTATCAATTGACTGTGACAAATTGATATCAAAAGCCATGGGGGATCTCAAGACTTTCAATGGCAGTTCGAACTCTTCCTAAAGCAATACCAGGAGGACTAAACACAGACAGAGCAACTTTCACAACAGATGGAGAATCAATCTTGAGAACTGCCAGTGGCCAAAGGAGAGACAATTGATTCTGTGGACAGTTCATGACATAGGGACATGGGGCGTGTTGAGGCAGAGGAAGGAGTAGATGATGAAGGCACGGTCCCTAGATTTGCTAAACTCGACTTTGCACACTTAAATGAGATTGCTGACTCACTAGGGTGGCTGAACAGGGTGAACATCTTTTTCTGCGTTAGTGAACAACAGAGGAAGATAAGGTGGGGCTAGCATCATTCCACCTAAAGGACGATGCTCAACT